CTATAGCAGCAAGACAGTGCACACTGTTTGTTTGTGTCTCCCGTGTTGCTGCTTCTCTCCTTGTATTCTGTTGTTGCTGAGGCTCTCATTGCTGCTGCTGCTGCTACTGCTGCTGCTGCTGCTGCTGCTGCTACTGCTGCTGCTGCTGCTGCTGCTGCTGCTGTGGTGTTTTGCTGCAGCAGCAGAGAGGGTTTGTTGCTGCGAAGATGGAGACGACCAACGGAAAGACAGAGGCGTCAGAGAGACACAGACCCTCTGTCTCCTTTTGTCTCCTTTTGTCTCCTTTCTGTCTCCTTTTTCTGTCTCCTTTTGTCTCCTTTTGTCTCCTTTTGTCTCCTTTTGTTTTTTCTTTTGTCTCCCTTTTATTGTCTCCTTTTGTCTGCTTTCTGTCTCCTTTTGTCTCCTTTCTGTCTCCTTTTTTGTCTGTTTGTCTCCTTTTATATCTCCATTTATGTCTCCTTTTTGTCTCCTTTTTGTCTCCTTTTGTGTTTCCTTTTTTGTCTCTTTTTGTCGCCTCCTAAATATCTTTTTGTCTCCTTTTTGTCTCCTTTTTGTCTCCTTTTGTCTCCTTTGTTGTCTCTCTTTGTCTCCTTTTTGTCTCTTTGTATATATCTTTTTGTCTCCTTTTTGTCTCCTTTTATATATCTTGTCTCCTTTTATACATATTTTTGTCTCCTTTTTGTCTCCTTTTTTGTCTCCTTTTGTCTCCTTTTATATATCTTTTTGTCTCCTTTTTGTCTCCTTTTATATTTTTTTGTCTCCTTTTTGTCTCCTTTTGTCTCCTTTAGGTCTCAGGTCGACCCCAATGACGCTGAGGCTCTCTACCCTTGCTGCGATGTTGCGCTTTGGTGGTTAGTTGCTGCTGCTGCTGCTGCTGCTGCTGTTGCTGCTGCTGCTGCTGCAGTTGCTGCTGTTTCTTGTTGCACTGCTGCTGCATCTCTTGCTGCTGCAGCTCCCCGAGAGCGATACAACCCCAGAGAGGCGCGCAGAGGCGAAGGCAAAGCTGATGCAGCAG